GGCTCATGAGGTTGAGTAATTCATCAGCTGTGATACTCTGCTGTTGGGGTCAGGAAGGATTCAGAAACTTGGGGGGAATCACCCTTTGGGACAGTAGGGCTCAGATTAACACCACGTTTTAAGTGTGTAGACACCTCAAAGAAGGTTTTAGTTTTTCCCTCCTCAAAATTCAAAAGGTAATACATATACCTGTTTAAAATTCCAATTGTACAACAAGGAATACAGTGATATGTCAGTTTACTGGGGTGTAGTTTCACTTCCCAGAAGCAACTACAACAATGGTTTCTTCTGCAGCCTTTGCAGAAACTCTAGGCACATACAAGCTATATGTATTCTTTAGAAAAGCTAACACTGACTTAGCATTTATGATGTATCTGCAGTGGATGCTATTGGGCCCTTCCCAGATGGACCACCCATGCCCGTGCTGCTGTGAACTTTGGCTGTTAATGACTAGTAGTGTAGCCCCAGGGTCCCCAGGTTTTGGAGTATGCACTGTGAAAAAGTACCCACTTGTAACTATTGCACCTTGAGTTCTTGTTCTTTCAAAAAGTTCTGCAGTCCTAGAAAAATAAAAACCCATTGAATCCAGAGATGCCTGAGTTAGAGACGAACTTTGGTCAATTCTCCTCATCACCATACTAAAAACCCTGCCCAGGGAGGAGCTTTCTGGCCATTTTCTATACATGCAACCTATGTAGAAGTATGATCCTCACTTGCACCTGTGCTGCCTTTACTTCATCTCTACGTACTGACTCAGCTAACCAGTTCAGTAAAAGCCCTGCTTTCACCATTGTTCAGGAGGAACTGCTTTGGGAAACCATCCTGGTGTCCTTCTTAGTTGTTGCAAGTAATAAAATCCCCTTGTTAAATCCTCTTTGGTTGTAGCCATTGAACTGTCATCCATCAAGCAATTGTACCCACCTGCTGTGTGGGTAACAATGGCTGCCCCCTCTCTCCAAAGGATTCCTCTCATGAAACGGGAGCTGCCAGGGCTGATGATGGAAGGTGCTGTTAAAGAACAGAAACTCCTAGTAGCAATGAGGATGAAAGGATTACAGAAAAGCAGAGATAACTATGAGAAGCCATGGCAACCTCACTGCCACACTGGATAGCAAGGTAGAACTGGCAGCCAAGGGTCCTGAACTGACCTATAGAGATGGCTAGTAGAACACAGCATTTCCAGGGATAAGATAAATGGGCAGCCAGAAAGGGTACTGCTTAATACAGAATCAGAAGAGATCAAGGAATGGTGGAAGGCTTGGGTTAGACATCACTCCAAAGAAGAATCATCATCTCTTGCCAATATCAAGACGGGAGCCTGTTCTCAGACCTAGAATTCTGAAGGAGAGACTGGTGTCTATGAGAAAGGATCCAGAACACCATCACAAATATACACAAAGATTTCTTCAGTCCTTCTTCAGAGTGATTTGTGGTTATTTCTTTGGATAACCATAGATGGAGGAAAGAATAATAACCTGATCTTTTGAAGGATGTTGGATTCAGGGTCCAAGTTGATAGGGATATCCAGGGGTCCTAAGTACCATCATGTTCCCCTCTCCTCTCACAATCTCCCCCCCAGCTCCCCCTCCAACCCTGTGAGAGTAGGGGCATACTGGATTCAGATAGTAAATGAAGCCTTCATTTAAGTGTCTCTCAGTGTGTTCTGTTACAAACCTAGTGGTCATTTCCCTGGTTCCTAAATGTGTAATTGGAATGAACATACTTAGCAGTTCACAGAACCTCACACTGGTCCTTAACCTGTAGAGTAAGAGCTATTATAGTAGGAAAGGCCAAGCAAAAGTTCCTGGAACTGCTTCCACCCCCATCTCCCCAACCAAGATAGTAAACAAAAACAATATTCCATCCAGGGGAAAATAACATTCACATAGTACAGACAATCTTCCCTTTTTGCAGTCTTGCTCCAGGGCTATGTTCACTTTCCTGTTTTCTGTCATAATTTACTCCAAAGGGACCTGGACCATATGGCATCACACTGGTCTTCCACAATGTTAGTTGGATCTGTTGAGCAAGCAATACAAGTACAGTCATGTGTCACTTAGCGACGAGGATACACTCAGAGAAATGTATTGTTATGCGATTTTGTGGTTGTATGAACACCAGAGAGTGCACTTACACAAACCCGGATGGTGTAGCCTACTACACCCCCAGGCTATGTGGTATAACCTGAGCTACAAACCTATACAGCATGTTACTGTACTAAATACTCAAGGCCATTGAAACAAAGTGTATTTGCATATATATGCATATCTAAACATAGAAAAGGTACAGTAAAAAATAGTTTTATAATCTTATTGGATCATCATAACATACGTGGTCCCTTACTGATCTAAATGTTTTTATGAAGTGTATGCCTGTACTGTACATCAGGGGTCCCCAGCCCTTGGGCCACAGACCAGTACTGGTTGGTGGCCTGCTAGGAACAGAGCTGCACAGCAGGAAGTGAGCAGCCTGCAAGCGAGTGAAGCTTCATCTGTATCTACAGCCACTCCCCATTGCTTGCATTATCACCCAAGCTCCACCTCCTGTCTGATCAGTGGTGGCACTAGATTTTCATAGGAGTGTGAACCCTATTGTGAACTGTACATGTGTGGCATCTTGGTTGTGTGCTCCTTATAAGAATCCAATACCTGATAATCTGTCACTGTCTTCCATCACCTCCAGGTGGGACTTTCTAGTTGCAGAAAAACAAGCTCAGGGTTCCCACTGATTATACATTAGCATGAGTTATATAATTATTTCATTATATATTACAATGTAATAATAATAGAAATAAAGTACACAATAAATGTAATGTACTTGAATCTTCCAGAAACCATCCCGCTTCATCCTGTTCATGGAAAAACCGTCTTCCATGAAACCAATCGCTGGTGCCAAAAAGGTTGGGGACTACTTCTCTAGACACCTTGATGAAATACATACATTTCAGAGGTGGATAAACACCATGAATATTCAGGAGTTTACCACATTGGTGATATTTTAAAATAATTATTTATAAAAATTTGGGGGATGGTTTTAGACTTAGGAGAGATGGTAAAAAGAGTACAGAGATTTTCCATATATTCTTTACCCAGCTTCCCTTTATGTTAACATCTTGTATAAGCATAGAACATGTATCAAAACAAAGAATGATCCTGTACAATAGTATTATCTAAACTATATATTGTTTTGGATGCTGAAGTGGTCCAATGATCTAGGGCATGTCAGGACATTTTTCCCAGAATGAAAAACATGTTACTACACCTTGCACCTCTACCAAAAAGAAAGTATTATGACACTTAGTAGATCTCTTAGAGTTTAGAAATCAGCATATGTTGCCCTTGAGAATACTGTTCTTACCCATTTAGCAGTTGATGTGGAAGGTGGCTAGTGATGAGGTCAGATCAAGAAAGGGCTCAGGGCCAGGAGCTATGGTTCAAGCCTCTAATCCTAGAGCTTTGGGAGGCTGAGGTGGGTGGATAGCTTGAGCTCAGGAGTTCGAGACCAGCCTGGGCAACGTGGTGAAAACCCATCTCTACAAAAAACACAAAAATTAGGCGGGAATGGTGGCAGATGCCTGTAGTCCCAGCTACTCTGGAGGGAGGACTGCTTGAGACCATGAGGCAGGGGTTGCAGTGAGCCATGATCATGCCACTGCACTCCATCCTAGGCAACAAAGCAAGATCCTATCTCAAAAAAAAAAAAAAAAAAAAAAAAAAAGGAAAAAGAAGGGGCTTAGTGGCACTATCCTCTGTGATTAGGGCAGTCTTGCCTCTTGGGCTGTATCACCTGACACATCTCATGATGCTAGAGCTATCTGCAGTGGAGCTGCAAAGGCTAGGAGGAGCCTCTGGCAAGCCCCCAAAGAACCACAGTACAGTCCTTCAAGGTTCTGGAGCATAGCCAGGGCAACTCTTAACAACAACAAAAAATAATGTAGAGATTTTTTATTCCAGTAATCTTATTTTAAAGGTAGAAAGGAGGCCTAAGGTGATAGGCATAATTGGCAGAGTTGGCTTTTGTTCTGGTGTTTCTCGCTGCAGTCATTCTTCATTTTCTGATGCAATTTTAGAATATCTTAAATACTAACACGTTTTGGAACAAACTTAGAGAAATTATGAAGCTGATTTAGGCAAAGAGCACAGTAATCTTTGATTTACAGGGAATTTGGGGATATAATTCAGCTATATTGAAGCTATGCAGCCAAAATGTAGATGGTCATTATTATTAAACCATAAATTTTGTGAGGTCAGGAACCTTGTAATTTAAAAAATATTGCCTTCTCTGTGCCTTGTTGAATAATTGGATAAAACATATAGACATACATGAACAACTGATGAGTGGCTGTGTGTGATGCGTAGCTAAGTTTATCATTTTTAAGATTCTTATTGTATTTATTGAAGGCCAAGTTGAGGAGGGTATTGCTTAAGGGAAATGAAAAGGTGTTTAACCACAGTCCCCACCATTCAGGAACTTGCAATCTAGTAGGTTAGGGGACAGACACCCCATGGTAGGTGATGGAGACTTTTTAAAGAGGAGTGTGGTGAAATTGCTATGGGAATCGGGAGGAAACATGTTCTAGGACTTGGGAAATGGTATGCGTGCTGGAAAAACGTTGTGCTCCTGATCAGAGAATCTGGGTTCTAGAACTGTTTCTACCACTAATTTGTCCTGCGACTTCGTGCACCAAATTTATGCTTGTAAATTAAACTCCCAGATTTCTGTTTTCCATTTTGCAGCTCCAGGGGTTGGAAGAACCATCAGGTTCCCTCGGACAAATGACCTCCGCTAATTTCCTATCTCGTTTTTTCTTACCCCTACAACCCACCGCTCCGTGTGACACTCCTCTCCAGAAGGCCAGTTGAGGAACTAAGCACCGCCTCTTTAAAGGAGCGCTCAAATAACGGCACCCGGGGTATCCCGGGCTACGGAGCAGGGGCGGGGTGTCGGGGACCCGGGCTTCCCACGCAGCCGGGGACGCCGTTGCGTCACGGCGCCTGCAGCCAATTAGGATGTAGCCTTCCGGGACGCATTACTAGGGCGACCGCCGGACGCCTCCGCGCTACGGGATGAATTAGCGGCGGGTTCCGTCCGGAGGTTGTGACCCCAACGAAGTCCCAGCTTGCCCACGCTCCCCTTCGGCGTCGCGCGGCGTGCCCTGCTTGTCACAGGTGGGAGGCCGGAACTGTCAGGTGGGGTTACGGCGCAAGGAAAATGGCGGCGGCCAGGGGATCTCAGAGGTGCAGGAAGGGGAGCTGCAGCCAGGGTTTTCCTCTTGAGTCGTGGGCCTTCCCTGAACTGCGGCCCCGGGTAACGGCCACTGGCCTGGGAGTTGGGGTCCCGGTGCAGGTGGCGGTGGCGTCGCTGGCTCAGGTGGGAGGAAGCGCGGGGAAGCGACTAATGGAGGCTGGCGGAGGCGTAGGGTGCCCAGGCGTGCACGAGCTGCGAGAATGAGGTAGGCGCGGGGCGAAGAGGGTCCCATCGGTGTTGACTCGAGTAGCGTCCAAACCTTCCTGCCGCGACCTCGGCGGGTCTGGGAGCGCGACTTGAGCTCTGCACTTGTTGAATCCCAAGCGCTGAAACGTTTCAAGTGGCTACCACGTGCAGGGCTTCGACGAGAGCTGTGGAGAGCGGGGGTTGGGGCTGCCTTCCCTGTGAGTCCTGCAGGCGCCAAAGGCCTGCCTGTAGGTGCCAGAGTGGCAGTGCCACGAAAAGAAGGGTAGGCCCTGGCCAGGGCGGATGCCAGACCTGATCGTTAAGGTGTACCTTAGCTTCTAATTGCCCATTTGAAGAAAAGAAATGGAAAGGTAAGGTACTTAGTTGTGGTTGTGGAGATGTTTTGCATTCTTGTGCTTCCCTGGTTCAGGTGGGTTCCCTGGAAGCATTTCATCTGCCTTTAAAGTTCATTAACTATATTTCTTGTGTACATGGCAGTAGATGAGATTAAGGATTGAGATACACTTTAAGCCGGAGAAAAGTATTGAAGATAGGTGTTGAAGGCATTACCAAGATGAAATATTTATTCATATCATTAACTTATTTGGTCAGAGAAACATCTGTCATGAAATATAACTAACTACTTGGATTGTTTTCAAAAAACTGATTTGATGAAAGCCCTTTTTGTAAAACATTTTTTTTGAGCATTAGTAAAAATAAATAATTCTTACCACGTATTATTAGATTTCTATTGCACATTGTACTTTGCTTGATATGACAGATAAACATCATATTGAGGGACTTTTGTTTTTGGTAGTAGGCCTGTGTTTCAGTCATCAGTAGCTGCCATCTCTGGAGTGCCAATTATGTGTCAGTTTCTGTGAAAGCTAGGCTTCTCCTGCTTTTTGATTTGAGCACATGGCGCAGTTCATCTGCCTTCACCAGGTCTTTAGGCTGGCTGTTGCTGACAACCAGGAGAAAGCAATTGGGAAAACCCAAAAGATTCTTTTTTCCAAATTGGATCCGTGGCGATTTTGTCAGTTTGGCATGGGGTTGACGTTATGTGTGTTTTCTTGTCCAAACTCTGCCACTTAAAAAAATCTTAGGGTAATCATACAACTTCACTATTAGTGTCTTATCTCTAAAGTGAGTGTTTCGTATTCAAACAATCTCACTGCACTGTTGGGAGGGAAAGATATGTAAAAGGGCTTAAAAAGTAAAAACACGGTGAAAATATTTGAAATTTATTCTTCTGCATTCATGTACTCTACCAGGCACTGAATCAGGGACCTTATATATTACAACTCAGGGACCTTATATATTGCAACTCAGTCATCCAGCAACAGAGCGAGTTGGATACTTTCATTATCTTTATTTTACAGATGAGGAAACTGAAGCATATTGAAGTTTAATTTCTCTATATCACACAATTAGCGTTGTGTTTCCAGCCTCGGTTCTTAACCACCATATATGCTATCTTCCTATGACATACAGATGTGTTATGTATTAAGGGGAAACATTAATATATGTACAGATTTTTCTTTTTTAATATCTATATTTTTCTTTTTCAAAGGTTCTAGCAATGTCCTAGAATGAACACATTTTTCAAGCCAGTAGTTTTGTTTGTGATCTTTTAGTTGTATAAATAGTAATCATGATTTATTCCATTGGCATCCAATAGTGATTTGTGTGGTAATAATTACATTTACGTTGGTTAGGTTGTATATTCATCTTAACTTTTGTTGCCCATTAGTTAAAAAGGAATTTTGAAACAGAGTTATGACTACTTTTTTTTTTTTCTGTGATGGAGTTTTGCTCTTGTTGCCCAGGCTGGAGTGCAATGGCAAGATCTCAGCTCACTGCAAGCTCTGCCTCCCGGGTTCAAGTGATTCTCCTGCCTCAGATTCCTGAAGAGCCAGGATTACAGGCATGCAAAGCACGCCTGGCTGTTTGTATTGTTAGTAGAGAGGGGATTTCTCCATATTGGTCAAGCTGGTCTCAAACTCTTGACCTCAGGTGATCCGCCCACCTTGGCCTCCCAAAGTGCTGGGATTACAGGCTGAGCCACTGTGCCCGGCCATTTATGACTAATTTCTATCAGGAAGTACAAATCAATAATTGAGATTTTTTTTAATCACATTTTTTAAAAGAATAATTTTCTGGGGGACTTTTAAAGGAAAACTGGCTTTAGTTAAGCCTGTTGTTTTAATATACTTGTGCTAATTTTTCCAGTCTTTATTGAAAAAAGATGATGAGTAAAAGTGGCTAGGACATTTATTCTTTCACTGAACCTTTATGGAATGGCCCTGCCAAGTCTTTAGGATGTAAAAATTAACCTCTGACCTCACCCTTGAGGAGTTCAGGGAGAAGTCCTAGGTCCAGAAGTTTGTAGATGGTTGAGATAAATAAATAAATGATTAATTAATAAAGTGTGATAAGAACTCAAATATAGATGTGGGTACAGAGAGCCATGAGAGCACATAAAAGGGAACAGTTGGTTCTTCTGGGGTGGGCCTGGTCAGAAAAGGAAGGGAGTTAACTGGATGGTAAAGGCATAGGGAGAAGCAGAGCAAAGCCAGGACAAGTGAGAGCTTATGGTGTCCCGGGGTCAGACCAGAGTATATAGGTGTTGCTGGGAGAGAAGCCAGGAAAGGTTAGGTCCAGGTTGTGAACTCTCAGCTAAGAGAGTGACTTTATTTTGCAGGCAGTGGAAACTGTAGAAGGATCTTATTTGATGCCTTACCTCAACTTTATGTTCTTGAAAGGTGACTTTGGTGACAGGGTGAAAGACAGACTATAAGGAGGAGACCAGTTTAGGACAGTTTCCATACTCCAGACAAAAGTTTGTGAGGGAGGGAACTAGGCATTAGCTGTGGGAGAGCAGAGCTCACATTCCACACACATTTTGAAAGCATATTGTGAGAGTGGATGTGAAGATAACAGTTGCAGAGGAGAACACCTGCTTGCCAAGAGAAGAGTAAGGCTTATTTCTTTGGAACTATATGGTTGGAAATTAGAGATCTTCTTAACTAATTTAGGAAAAAGGATAGAGCAGAGAGTTCTTTGTTTAAAAGGTGTAGAAAGAATCATCTAAAGTATGTTTGGGGGAAAAATGCTAGGATAATAGGTATGAGAATTTTTTTTTCTTTTTACATTAGGTTTTGAATATATTTGTACAGAAATCATTGTAATATGGAAGTATCACTGATGAATTCTCTAGTTTTAAAGCTGAACTCCACTTAAACATTTATAACACCAAAGTTGTCCAGCACCTAACAACATAACATGAATATTGGTGCAAATTGACTGCAAGGTCTGGAATGCAAGTCTTGCAGAAGATTCAAGATTTTGTGAAGTCAAAGCAAGGGGGAAAACTGCTGAAACCATAGGCACAAATCAAGGAACTAGTGCATAGAATAGGCAGAGATTCTTAAAAAGGACTCAGAAAGCAGTGACCATGAAAATGATTGATAAATTATTCTTTAGATGTCGTTAAAACTGAGAACTTATCTTGGTCTAAAGACACCATTAAGAAAGTAAAGAGCAACATATGGATTGGAAGAAGAAATCTGCAATTTATATATCTGACCAAGGACTCATACTGTGTGTGTGTGTGTGTGTGTGTGTGTGTGTGTGTAGCATTGAAAAAAATGAGAAAAATCATTTAAAAAATGCACAGCTGTCTTAAACAGGCACTTTCTGTTAGAGTATCTCAGAATGGCCAGTATGCATATAAAAGGGTACTTAACATTATTAGTGGGAAATAGAAGTTAAAACAATAATGAGGTACTGCTGTACACTTTTCAGAATGACTAAAATTAAAAATGGACAGTGCCAGTGTTAGCAAGAGTGTAGACCAACTGGATCTCTTACATATTGTTGGTGGGGTTGTCAAATGGTACAGTCACTTTGGAAGACTGGCCTTGTCTTTTTCTACCCATGATCAAATGCTTGCATTCCTAGTACTCAGGAGAAACTAATGCATGTGTCTACTAAAAAACATGTTAAAGAATGTTTATAGTGCCTTTATTCGTAATCCAAAAATAGGATATAATTGAATTATTCATCAGCAGTAGAATGGATGAGTAAATTGTGATATGTTTATAAGATGAAATACTGCAAAACCAGCAAAGGACAATGAATTATGGATATATATATCAACATGGATGTATCTTATAGACTTAAGTCAGACGTAAGATTGCACACTGCATGATTCCATTTAAATGAAGTTCAAAAATAAGTACAGTACTTCCCTGGTGACAGAAGTCAGAATACTGTTTACTCTGCGGTGTTGGTGGTGGTGATAATGACTGGGAAAGTACATGAAGGAACCTTCTGGAAATGTTTTATATGTTGAGGTATGTGGTGGTTACATTATGTATATACAAAAATTCAGAATATGTAAAAATATGAAGATTTGCACACTTTATATATGCACTTTAATAATAAAAAAAGAGGCTGTAATGAGAATATGGCAATGCCAGATCACTTTAGATGAGAAAAACCAGCAGGGGTAATTATGAAAGAGGTACTTTAAAAGAGTTTAAAAGGAGTATGAGAGGCTCCAGGAGAAAAATGATGAAATGTATAATTTTTTTCTTTGATCGAAATGGCTTTTATATAATTGTCTTGCAAAAGGCAAATGTGAAATTAAGCCTGTCACATCATGCTGTTTCACAGTTTGGTCACAAAATTATGCCCCAAGCACTCCACCTATTCATTAGTTCTTTGTCCT